TTAACATTCTGTCCTATCCATTTGCCAACTAACTCTTCTTTGTAAGTTTTGAATTAAGTAGGTTTGGTTTTATTACAACAATATTTACTAAAGATTAAAAGTACAACAAAATACATTACAATAAGAAAACACGTTCCAATTACATAAACGAAGTGACCATTGGAGGCGGAACACCGGTCGGGGGAAGAATGCGTGCGGGTGGAGGAGGAACAGGTGCCGGGGTGCGCAGCTGGAATACAGGTGGTAGACGATTGGTTGCGATAGCTGAATGAAGTTCAAGAAGTTTGTTGTCGCGCAGTTCAATTTTGAATGCGAACTGAAGGAAAAACTAAAACACAACAGCCAAATTATTGTACTGAACTAGCTAGCAGTTTGCAGTTAGATAACCCATAATAACAGGGTTTACTTTTATTATATCAACCAACAGTCACCGTATTTCGCAGTTTATAAATTACTGAAAATTTATGCCAGTTAAAAAAAATTAATAATTAGTTATTTGAAATGGTAAAACTTTCAAGGTGGAGAAATTTTGCTTAGTATTTACTATTTTATATTTCAAAGGTCCCGGGTTCGAACGCTATCCAGGTCACTCGCCTTTCTTCGTTTTGACTTGATAAATGAGTATTATTCTGTGGAAAGAAAGAGAAGACAATACACAGTTCTGACAACATAGCTCTGTCGGCTTGCCATTAAAATAAGACAGTCCTAACTCGCATGGAAATAAAAATAGGCACCCGGCCATTAACTTTATGAAAAGAAGGGTCTCAGAAATGGATCCATTCAGAAGGTCTGACATTCCCATGATCACAAACCTTCCTAATATTTTCACGAAGCACGTTTAAAGTAGAGGTCTGGATATAAATACTTTCAATATCATCTGGAACTGAAACCATCGACTGCTACGGAAGACCAACCCCATTCAAAAAACGTCACCATCGATCTACCTTGAAGAAAGCCCGTGAAACACGGGCTGAAACATCGACACTGAACAGTGACCAAAGTGAACACAATGTTTTTTGCGTTGTAAAAGTAAACTGTATTTAATGTTATTTTTCACTGTAGCTTGGTAAAATAAAAAGCGGATGAGATAATCTGCCAGGAAAACTGGAATTCAATTTGAATCTCCACCTGCTACGTTTAGTGAAAATGCATGCTATGCTATTCATATCTTCAAATAGACTGACATCCTCTCATTAGTGACATCATCATGTAAACAATGTTCGATTTTAATCGCTGTTTGATTGCAAAACAAGGCGATTAATGTATTTTGCTGGAACCAGTGAGAAGCATAAGATATTGAACAAAATAACTATTGACCTTGACCATGGAAATGACTGCTGCTGTCTCGCTGCGCGAGAACAGCAAAAGCCACGTCACATACTGTACTGCTGTGCACAACTGGAGTGAAAGCAAGCATTGAGCTAAATAATTCGAAGACAAAGGCAATGAATAACAAAGACGGAAATAATGAATAACAAACACTGAAAATGTAATATGCCACGGAAATGCTGCTATAGAAAATTTATACGGTTCAGATAATTTCACACCACTGCCTCGTACAAGGGTTACTATTATCAGGACTTAAAGTAAACAGTTGCGCCAAACTCTTCAACTTCTCACGCCTATCGAAAATCTGACGGGAAAAGGAAATCCATTTCAGCAACAAAGACACCTCGACTTCGATGCAGGCATGCTGACTTATGAAAAAGACCAGAAGCTGCTATCTTGATAGGAACATATGAATCTCCCGCTGAAGAAGGGTCCAACAACCTGGCAGTTACAGGCAGTTTCAGAATCATTCCCACTGACAGTATCAAACTGAAATAGTTCAACCAATAACGAGGAGCCAGTCATTCCTCAATGGCTTTTCAGCTGCTAACGAGGGAACCAAAAACACGGACAGCTTGAGTCTATGACCAGAACGTCAAGTGGCTAAAGGAGGTAAACGGAGTCTAGCTCTTAACTAGGAGGATAAATCAGTTCTTCTTCGACGTAACAGACATACTGTACAATATAAAATGCAAAACCAGCTGAGGGACAGCGTGAATCGTAAACTGCCTGCACTTCTGCTAAAACACAAATCATGAAAAAATACAACAAACATTGATGTCTTTCACCATCGCCTTGTCCATCTCTCTGCCTCCATTCCGCATTAAAACTTCGCAACACATTTAACTGAAAAGAACATTTAACTTCACTTTGAAAAGACAGACATTCATGCAGATCTCGTGACATCCCCAGAATATCACAATTTCTGTATGTTTTCAGAGGCTTCAGTGTATATCTCCCTTGACTGCGCGGTTAGTTATGACACACAACAAATTCGCAAACGCTGGCGCATTTTGGCATTTCTTATAGAATCGAATGAAGATACAAGCAGGTGGTAATATCCCCTTAAAACAAGTTAATATGCTAGGTGTGGCTTTCTCCACTACCATAACTCTGGCATCAGTCTGGTCGGGACAAACATGCGATAAAAGCATTAACAAAACGTTAAAAAGAATATTAGCAAATCAGCAAATGCCCCTCGAACATGAATAGCACACCTGTTTCGTTTCTTTGTTCCATAATGTCCAAAATTTGCCCTCGTTCTTATCTACTTCCCGACTAGGAATTTTGAACGCTATAGTTTCGTAAGGTTCAGCTGCGAACAGCAGGTACTGCCAGCGTTTATCCGGTGGTTCGATCTTCTGTTCATAGGCAGACATGAAACGATGTCTTGGAGTCACTCCGTCGGTAACTTCCGGATAGTCGATTTGAAACAACAAGCTCTGTTGGCCAGTCATGGGATCTCTTTGTTTGGTCACTAAAAAGATCCAATAAGAAAATTTATCATTTGGTACTCTCACACAATGAACCCCAACCCATACATCAATAAATACGAAGTGGCGCAGAGGTGAAATGCTTAGCT